ACGGCCATTCCGTCCTAATATGTGACAACTCAGAAGTGCGTACCTACAATCTCGCTCGTGGGATTCGAACACAGGACCTATCGGTGTCGCGCACAAACGCTTAACCTGTAAACCACTGAGTTGTCATTCAATTGTGTTAATGCCAAACTTCAACCAGTTCATGAAACTGCGCCACCGTCCACCATCCTCTTCAGTGAGTTACTATCTCACAACACACCCAGTTGAACTCCACTGGTCACGGCTTCTCACTAGAAACCCAGGAAATAAATCTTGTAGCCAGTCACTAGTGAGCACATGATGATTATCATCAGAAGGGTGTTTAGTCGTATTGAGGACGAAACGACCGTCCGGTGCTTCTATGTTTTCTGTGGTGGTCTAGCTTTAATTAACTTATGAATTCAACTATACAATGATTGTTAAATTTGAGTAGTGGTAGGTTGTAGTTAACTTCCACAAAAAATGTCCTTACTATAGGCATATCATATGAAAAAAAAACTTTGATATTGAAATTGTTTGATTCCTATTCCCTTATGATTGGTAATAGCTTGCCTTGATAAGAATCATCTCACAATCTTGGTTATTAAATTACGTGAGGAAGAGACCTTTTAGTTACAGAACTTCCTCCTACTTTCAAAAAAATGTGATCAAAAATTGCAACAAAGCCACTATTAGCTTTTATTTTGAGCTTTGTCGGTAAAGTCACAAGCAACTATCTTACATGATCTTTAAGAACCTACCCGAACATATAATACAGATACTTCACAATACTAACATGGTGTTGCCACTGAACGTTAGCAATACTTCTTGGACAACAGTGAGCAAACACATAGATTGGCTTAACACCCTCAACACGTAAGTTGGCAAAAGCCAAACGAGCTTTACGAATCCGTGCTGAGATTTCGTCAGACACCAACCCATTAGGGCTGATCAGACTTCCAAGATAAGTGAAGTTGTCAACACGTTCGACTACTTCACTCCCTATCCTTAGTTCAGGTGTTGACGCAGACCAGTCCTGAAGCAACAACTTGCATTTAGAGGGAGAGAAGCGCATCCCAAACATTCTGGCATTGTTGCTTAGTGCTACCAGAAGACTCTGCATTTTGTCAGCGTCTTCACCAAACAGGACTATGTCATCTGCATATTCTAAGTCGATAAGTGGACCTCCTGGAAGGAGATCAATACCCGAGAATTCAGTCGACGAGAGTGTTATTTCCATCAATAGGTCTATGATGAAGTTAAACAAAAATGGAGAAAGTGGGCAGCCTTGACGGACACCACTTGAGGTTGTAAAGGTAGATGACAGTTCGCCATAAGCCCTGACTCGACTAGTAGTGTTCGAGTAAAGAGCCTTCACAAGGTTTATGTACTTCTGAGGTACGCCTTTCAATGACAGACACTGCCACAGAGTCTCGCGGTCTACAGAGTCAAATGCTGCTTTTAAGTCAAGAAAGACCACCATCGTCGGACGCCGATAGGTATGCCTGTGTTCTAGAACCTGACGAATGGTGAATATGTGGTCGATGCAGCCACGACCAGGTCTAAAGCCAGCTTGGTTCTCTCGTGTTTGTAGTTCACGAGTCTTAGTTAGGCGTTTGATAATTATCGAGGCCAGTATTTTAGATACTATGTTTGTTAAACTAATCCCTCTGTGGTTGTCACAGGATGATTTTGACCCTTTCTTATATATTGGGACGATAAGTGATTGCGACCAGTCAGATGGGATAACGTCTAACTCCCAGATTTTAGCCAAAATATTAGTCAACCTAGTCGCTAAAATTGGACCACCATCCTTAAAGACTTCTGGAGCCAGTCCATCTGGACCCGCTGCCCTTCCTCGTTTCAGATTAAACAAAACTAGAAATCATGATTTAGGTAATTTTTGAATGAAAATTTCCAATCAATGTCTAGCCATTACTAATTAGGTTGATTTGGTTTTGTTTGTTTTTTTTTCAAAAAACCCAGAGTTTTCTAGGTCACCTTAGTGTTTGTTTTTTCGGTTTTTTCTAAATAAACACAATGAAGATCCATGTGAAATTTTTTTAAAAAAACACCCAGTGACAAGGTTTGTCATGACATTTTAAGATAAACATCTTAGTTAGGTGAATAAGGTTAAAAAAGGTGTGTGTGTGTTTTTTTTTAATTATAAATATTAATAAACATCTAGTATCTACACACACTGGTATTGTGGTGTGAGCTACTTATGTCCACATAAGTAGTATATATAATGATGTTCAGGAATAGAATGTATTTCAGTAGAAGATCTAAAAGGAAACAATGGGAACGGAAAGTAATTGGTATTAAAATGTAGGGAAAAATGAAATTTGAGACCATGAATTGATATTTGAAAAAGGAACAGTCAATTTTGAGATGATGGATTGATATTTTTCAAATGAAGTAGTTACTGTTTGGTGAAACTTCATCAGTTGAGATTGCTGTGACACGTGTTACACATGTACGACCACTGACTGCCATGATGTGCGATGTTTTGTGGTGTAGGAGTAGGTTGGAAAAAAGCTAGAGGCGGCCAGACCAAAACATGGCACAAATCCATGAAGTCACTGACAAGTAGACTGATCCATGTTGGTAGGTGTAGACTACGTGGTTGGGGACCGCGAGATGATAGCACTCGATGAATAGAGACCTTGAATGACATGGCTCAAAATCTTTTGCCATGACGCAGAAGTATCCACTCTTTATGTTCTCTGAAATTCTAATCTTCTGAATTCTTCATGTCCTTTATTTTCTTTACAAATTTATTTCACTGGATTGTACTCCTTGAATAACATGTTCAAACCCTAATCTTTCTGATTACTACTTATACTCTTGCTACCTCTACCACTATGGGATTTGAATCGACAACTGCATCTCTGTGCTAATATGGTATGACAACTTGTACTGATGTAGGTACGTACGAAGTTCTACGTTGTTACTGACTGACTGACTGTATTAGATAGTGGTTAACATTGGAATCGTGAATATGTATTTCTTTCTATTTGAGATTCGTCTGGTTGATCTACCTGCATCTGAAAAATTTCAGTATGGATTCAAAAAGCTCGTTTGGCTATTGCCAACGTACGTCACCTATGGCAAAGGCAAGATATTCTTGTATGAATTGACGGATGAATAATCTGTGTGATAGTTCGTTCTGTTCTACTTTACGGTTGCGAAACGTGGCCATTAAGAGTAGAAGATACTCGTAAACTCATAGTATTTGACCACAGATGCCTTAGAAATATAGCTCACATCTACTGGTTTCACCAGGTAAGTAATAGTGAGGTTAGACGCAGGGTATCATGTACTGATGATGGTAAATCAGTTGATGAGATTGTGAATCTTCGTCGACTGAGATAGTTGAGCCACGTGTTACGTGTGCTTGAACACCGATTACTACGATGCGCAATGCTCACTAGTGTCGGAGATGGTTGGAAGAATGTTAGAGGCGGCCAAACCTAAATGTGACATCAGTCCATAAAGTCACTAAATTCTGGTCTGAGCCATGTTGGTAGATGCAGACTACTTGGCTGGGGTCCTCGTGACTATCGTAACCATTGGTTGGAGACTCTTGGTGACATGGCTAAGAATTGATCAGAACAAATTCTTTCTTCCTGTACTATATCCTTATATGCAGTCTTTCTTCTCTATATTACCATCACTGAAAAAACTATTTACCTCACTGTTATGACTTTATGTCCGGCTTTTTGTCACGTGATTTATCCACCAATCAAAATACGACCCATACAATCTTAGCACTGTGCCAGACCAATGACGTTCGACTGATATGAGCAGCCTAGCGTCATATTTGGTCTTATGTCTGCCTAACCCGTCCACTTGAGTCCAGAACACTAATACCAGCTTCCAATATGCGAATCGAATCGAATCTTTTATTTCAGACATACTGGGTTTCTATGTCAATCAAACAGACCGCAACGCACCATAAAACAGGAAATAACGTTTGTGCACAATATAGCCAAAAAGTGGCTGTGAACGTGGGAGGCAGTAGTCAATAAACTGAACATAGCTTAAGAACAGTAAATCGTACAATAATAAATTATAGGTCAAAATTAAGCTTATAATAAGAGGAATATAAATATACATAATCTAACTATTGAATAGTTATACCATAAGAATATGCAGATGGTATTAGTCCATCAATCAGTCTCAGAAGTTACTCGTGATTTATTCTTCGCTCGGATTTAACACTCACAGATATCAGTAACATGGGAATCCGCTGAAAGCTCAGTTATCACACATTACAATCCCCGATGCTTTGAACTAACAGTCAGTCCTCAATAGATTTAAAAAAATGAGTATGACATTTTATCATATTATCTGATGACCATAATCTGTATATATAAGCAGGGTGTTATATTATACCAAGAATTACCCTATTCACCTAGTTTAGTGTTATCTTTTTTTATATCAGTCAACGGCTAACATCAAAAGACAGTTTCATGAGCATTTGTCATTCAGCCACAACATATTATTGCATTAATCTATAGATCATTATTTCACTGATTGATTTTGATCATTGAAAATTCTCTCACTATTCATGAGAAACCACCTTAGTGACACTGTTGGGGTGATCTAAAAAATTTCTTGCAAGAGACAAGCAAGGGCCAGGAAACACTAAGAAGCGCTTCATCCAATCAGTGTTCACTTGAAGTTTTAGCCAGAAATATCAAGGAAGCGAAACGTCACATGTAGAGGTTCTGATTGGCTGATTGCTATACTGCTACTATGTTTAGTATCATTCCGGAATCTTCGAGCAACCTAACGACATTTAAAATATTATAAAAACCTTAAAATTTTCTGTATTAAAATGAACCTTTAGAGTAATGCACTTCTCGCATACTTTGAGTTTTCTCTTTCGTGTTCAGGTCCCTATCTAGTTCTAGCTTGGAGGTTACAGAATACCTTAGGAAACGAATATAGCGCTTAATTTCCAAGACTTATCAGACACCATAAAATTATAGTTTATCTTTATATCTATTCTTTGATAGGTCAATTAAAAGAAAAATCTGAAAAAAATGAAAGTAATGATGTACAAAACAATTCGGAAACTATTTACCAATGGATTGTAATCAAGATCATTCAAGTGATATGATTGAAATAAATGAAAGTCAAAGTGAAAATATAAAACCTGTAAAGTATCAAGTTCTTAACAAAATGAATTCAAATCAAAGTAAGTTACTTTGTGTGTGTGTGGTGTTCTCTCTCTCTCTCTTTCTCTGGAACATAGAAATATTTTCGTTTCTAAGAAATTGGACTTTACTATTACGTTAGCTATGAGATCTTAAGGTTCAATGTCATATCTTTACTTTATTCAATTATTCTTAGTGTTGTTAAATATTTTGCTATAAAGAACTATGCATATTATTGGCATTTACCTCTTGTACATACTTTATATATACATATATATAAACAAAGACTTCAGTTGTAGGTCAGATTGGCATACACTATCTTGTCTTTCATTAGACTATTATATCTAGTATGTTAATTATGTCACCATATACACTAACATAGATTTATAACTTCCTAACAGTATTTTAGAAATGGTTTACACTGAACGAATACAAATTAGAAGGGTTTTTGTGGAGATTATAGTAATTTCAATCGTTGAGATTATGGATTAATTGAAGCTAGACCACCATGGAAAACCTGGAAGCATTGGACGACTGTTTCATCCTATTGTGGGACTTTAGCTTCAAATGATTCATGATCTCATCCATTGAAATTACTATAACATCCACAAAAACCCTTCTGATATGAATCAACATATAATCACTAGTGACTGGCTTCAAGAGTTATTTCCTGGAGTTCTAGTGAGAAGCAGTGAGCAGTGGAGTTCAACCGGGTCTGTTGTGAGATGGTAACTCACTTAAGGCAATGTTGGATGTGTCGGTCAATGTCGTGGATTAGTTGAAGTAGACATTAACACCATCAGATGTCGGCTCAGCTGTGTAGTGGTTAAGCGTTCGCACGCGAAACCAGTAGGTCCTGGGTTTGAATCTCTCGAGGCGAGGTCGTGACCACAAATTATACTGTATATTTCAGTAGTGTCCGTCAAATGAACAAACGCTATTCAAATCTTTTCATATGATTTCGAGATAGTGAAGATGATTTGTAACTCGGATGATCTTGGTGACGTTTCGTTCTCTGAAATAAATGGTTTGGTCATGGAGCTTTCATTGTTCTTATGAACAACATCATCAGTATAAACTTCATATAGAAGTGAAGTGATCAAATTTCTCCTGTTTTAACTGTTAACTTCACTTTTGATTGGTTATTGTTGACCGTTAACCTCTTATTATCTGCCTCTTAATTCTGATTCTATCTCCCATTGAATCAATTCTTGGTCTTATATGTATTCGTGATTTTTCTGATTGATGGATGGATAACTAATCAAGATCAAGGTCAACAGGACAAGCTGTAAGTCTAATGAGGAGAAATTCGAATACTCCACTTATACCTGAAGTTTGTGCTGGCGATGTTGTTCAGAAGGAGAATAAAGAAAGCTCTATGGCCAAACAATCCAGTTCACAGTACGAAACTTTGCCGTAAAAGTAGCTATTCAAATAGATTATATATCATCGCAGTAAAACAAAGTTGTTTCATAGATTTTCCTAGAACATTATCACCAATCGAATTCAAGAAGAATGTTTCAACTGAGTAACCTTGTTTACAATTCGAAATAATAGGAACGAGATAATTGTACACCTTCACTTTAACTAATGCGTTGTCGCATAGCACTCTGCAATTGAGTTTTTTAACGCAATATAAAATCAGTTATTAAAACCATTCACTTACTCAATTACGACCATAGGCCGTCCACCAGCATTCTCAATCCAATCCTGTCTTAAACAATCCTTTCCAGTTCTTTCTAGTTGCTATTCATTCTTTCAATATCTGCTTCCGTTCCCGACGTAATGTGTTCTTTGGCCTTCCCCTTTTTCGTTTCCCTTCAGGACCACAAGACAGTGCTTGACTTTTGATGCAGTTTGATGATTTCCTCAATTTATGTCCTATCCACTTCCGACGTCTTTCCCTAATTTACTGTTCTGCTGGAAGCTAGTTTGTTCTCTTCCATAGTAGACTGTTGTTGATGATATTCGGTCAACGGATATTGAGTATTTTGCATAGACAACTATTTATAAATACTTGTACATTTTTAATGATGGTCTTAGTGGTTCTCCAAGTTTCAGTCCTGTTCATTAGAATTGTCTTGACATTCATATTGAAGATTCTAACTAAAAATCATTCACTTAGTGAATTAATTACCCAGTATTTGTATAAACTGATTAATGCCCAATAAAGAGAACTGACTAAAATTCATAAAACATAAGTTTAGTTCTCAATAAATCAGCCCAAAAACCAACTCGTTAACTGTTTTATTTATTAAAGTTTAATCATGAATGTATACATTACGTGGAGGAGTCTCAAACTAACAAATATCCAGTCCAATTAAACGTTTTTAGTTGAGATCATGAATTAATTGATGTTAGACCACCGTTGGAAACCTGGAAGCACTGGACGGCCGTTTCGTCCTAGTATGGGACTCCTCAGCATTGGATGCCGGCTCAGTGGTCTAATGGTTAAGTGCTCAGGCGCGAAACCAGTAGGTCCTGGGTTTGAATCCCGTGGGGTGCGGGATCGTGGATGCGCACTGCTGAGGAGTCCCATACTAAGACGAAACGGCCGTCCAGTGCTTCCAGGTTTGCAACGGTGGTCTAACATCAATTAATTCATGATCTCAACCAAAAACTTAACAATCTCCACAACCCCCCATACTGATAAACGTTTTTAATTAATTTTTTTTGTCCCCCAATTTATGGTGTTATTTTACAATTGAAACTATCATAAATCACATGTAGTCAATCATTGAGAGTAATTTTCAATGCCAAATTTATGTACTTCTTAATTCTGGTCTATTCCTGTTGATTAAGTGACTTGATATTGTGTGAAGTATTTATTGATATTCGTCAGTCAGTCAGTAACAACGTAGAACTTCGTATGTACGTACATCAATTCGAGTTGCCATACCACATTAGCACAGAGATGCAGTTGTCGATTCAAATCCCGTAATGGTAGAGGTAGAGTAAGAGTATAAGCAATAATCGGGAAGATCAGGGTTTGGAGATGTTATTTAAAGAGTATAATACAGTGAAATAAATTTGGAAAGAGGAAAAAGAGACAAGGAGGAATCAGGAGATTAAAATTTAAGAGAACACAAAGAGTGGATACGTCTGCGTCATTTCAAACGATTTTGAGCCATGTCATTCAAGGTCTCTAACCATCGGTTGCTATCATCTCGCGGTCCGCAACTAGTTAGTCTACACCTACCAACATGACTCAATCCACTTGTCAGTGACTTCATGGATTTGTGCCATGCTTTGGTCTGGCCGACCCTAGCTTCCTTCCAACCTACTCCTATACCACTGAGCATCGCACGTCGAGGCAGTCGGTAGTTGTGCGTGTGTACCACGTGTCCCAGCCATCTCAACTGATGAAGTTTCAATACTTCATCAATAGATTTGCCATCCTTACCTACTACCCGTTTCCTAACACCTGCGTTACTTACTCGAAAGGTCCCAGGATTTCGATAATAATAAGAAGACGAAGTTTATCAAAACTATATGATGATATATTGATGTAATACATTTCGGACAATCCGATCATATATATCAGTCAGTTAGCTACAACGCAGGACCAAGCACATATGTACATAGGTTCAAGTAGTCATACCTCATTAGCACAACAAGACCAACATCAAATTCATAGGAATAGTTAATTCAATGGTGATAATGTACACATATACTTATTAAGAACATTTATATATAAAAAATAAAAGGCCAACCAGAGTGGAAATGTAGGGAAAGACGAGACAAGGATAATAAAGAAACAATATGAAGGCCCTGGGTTTGAATTTTGTGAATGGAATCGTAGATCCGCACTTCTGATGAGTCCTACAATAGGAAGTGTTGGCCGTCCAATGCTTTCAGACTTTCAATGATGGTCTAACATTAATTGATTCATGATCTCAATCAAAAACTTAATAATGTTCACAACCCCATACTGATAATATGAAAACAATCTGAAACTTCATCACTCTGAATAATAATAAGCTAACATTACCGGGGTAGATTTAAGGTGAGAACAAACTTTTTTGAATACGCAAAGCGGGTTTGATTTTTCATATGACTAAGGTTTCAAGTGGGGTTTCTAATGAATAGTAGTGACTAGTGGAGTTCAGCCAGGTCTGTTGTGAGATTATAACTCACTGAAGACAATGTTGGATGTGTAGCTCAATTTCGTGGATTAATTGAAGTTAGACATTAACACCGTTGGATGCCGGCTCAGTGGTCTAGTGGTTAAGTGCTCGCGCGCGAAGCCAGTAGGTCTTGTGTTCGAATCTCGCAGGGCGGGATCATGGACGCGCACTGCTGAGGAGTCCTACAATAGGGCGAAACGGCCGTTCAGTGCTTCAAGGTCTTCCATGATGGTCTAGCTTCAATTGACTCATGATATTAACCATTGAAGTTTCAATAAACCTTAGTATACGCCTTTGTTGTTAGATGTATTTCGCTAATATATATATCATCATATAGTTCTCATAATCTTTATCTTCTTATATTACACTAACGAAATTTATCAAATGGACTAATTACTTTAAGCAAAATATTACCCTTTACTTAGTAATTGATCATTTGTAGATACCTTAGTACTGTATGATTACAACAGAGGTGTCTAAGTTATATATTAGTACTGTCTTAGACTTCAAGACGGTGTAACATACTTACGAATGCTATCTAACAAGGAAATTGTGTAAAACTAGTCTTCTTCCAATGAACTAACATTAAAAACTATCATGATAATTGAAACTGACCAACACCACCAACAACAACAGAAGATTGAATAGAACGAAGAAGAAGAAGAAAAAGGTGAAAAAACAGAATAGTAGAAGAATTTAAGGCTAGAATGATGTACATTCTACTTTATGTATCTTAATCTTGTATAAATATTTTAATTAACCACTCTTTTACTCATTAAACTATTTGTATCAAACAAGATCCGCACACACACACATACACACGCACATAAATAAGTAATGCAATATGATTTATCAATTACACTCTGTATACAATAACGAAGAAGGTCATACTCATTTATATACATGCTTAGTTAATTAATGATGCATAGTATAAAGAAAAATATGTTGTTTACTTTGATTAGGACAGAATTCTGTGTAGGTGAAGTATTGTTACTTACTTCATTATTTTCATGGAATAAGTTACTTTTAAAACAAACATACCGAATACACTAATCATGCCTACATATAGATACATAATGAATAAGTACTTATCTCGTGGTTTATTGTGTACTCATCACTAAAAACTGTACTATAAGGTGAAATCATTAAGTTTCATGAGTAATCATATATATATATTAGTATAGGGTTGTGGAGATCAATAAGTTTTTGATTGAGATCATCAACCGATTGATGTTAGAGCAACATTGAAAACCTGGAATCACTGGGCATCTGTTTCGTCCTAATATGAGACTCTTTAGCATTGTACATCCACGATATATGTATAAGCGTGAGACATAGAGGTTGAACATTTACATAATAATTGACTTACTACTTATGTATAATTAAGTATAAGGTAACAAATTAATGAAATAATTATCTTTCTTACCCGATTTATTCCTCCAATTTCTACAAACCGCTTCAAATTATTAAAATAATTTTAATAGTTGAATTCATGAGTCAATTGAAGCTATATTACCATTAAAGACTCGAAATAATTGAATGGACGTTTCGTCCTAGTATGGGACTCCACAGTAGTGCAAATCCACAATCATGTGTGCGGGATCCGAACCCAGAATGTATCGGTATCGCGCACTAAGGCTTAACCTCAAGACCACTGATCCGGCAACCAACGGTGTTAGTGTCTAATTTCAATCTATCTACGAAATTCCTCCACCGTCCACCATTATCTTCAGTGAGTTACCATCTTACAACAGACGCGGTCGAACTCGCTAGGCGGGATCGTAGATGCTCACTTCTGAGGCATCCTACATTAAGATGAAACGACCGTCCAGTGCTTCTAGGTTTTCCATGGTAGTTTATCTTCAACTGAATCATGAATTTCACTATTAAAATTACTATAATATTCACAAATTTCTCTCTGATTATGAAAATAATGTTTCAAGAGAAGTGTTCAAATGACAAGTCAATGTTATTTTAAGTACTTTAGGGTCATTTTGGTATGTGCAGCTCCATACTTGTTTTTAAATAAAATGTCAATGTGTTCATTGTAATCTGTTATGATGAAGTTACATATTTCAATAGTTACATTTATTAATGATTGACGCATACAATATTCAGGCTGAGATTATACAATATGTCAGTTGGTCTTAGAAAAATTTTGATCAGTTCACCTATTAATTTTGATTTTCTGGTACACATCACTTGGAATTGTAATCGTAAATGACAGAGTTTAATTAACATTCTGAATAAGGTTAATATTATGGCTTTTGTGAATCTATATCATAGTTGTTGTATAAATAGCTGTTTCAATGCTTAATCAAGAAATTTGAGCATTAAGTTTCTAATTAGATTCACATTCTACAATAAGTAACTAGATATTCATTTACTTTTTAACAATTACATTTTACACTTATAAAATTGAACCATTGCCAGTAAAGATAAATTTTTCAGTAAACAGTTGTTTCATAAGCAAAGATAGATAGTGGCTAGCAATAGAATCCGGGGAACGCGTTTCATCTTATATGGGACTCGTCAGCTGAATGTACCTGTATCTCAGATTCAATACTCACTTTGGGACTCGATCCCAGTACCGTTCGCTTCAAACGCTATCTCACTATCCACTTAGCTAGTATTTCAAAATATCAATTACTACCTCCCACATTCACAGCCACTTCTGGCTAAATCTTGTACAAAGGTTGTTTCCTATTTCATGGTACTATGTGGTCTGTTTTGGTTGGTATATAAACTCAATATGTTCGAAATACATAATTCATATCATGGAAGCTCTGATTGGTGTTCTGGACTCTGACAAGCAGGGCTAGATGGGAAGCAAGACCAATAAAGACTTTATACAGCTCATACTTGTTTTATGCATCAGTGGTCCGGTCAATAATTCACTCTTCCCTAATTGACGGTATCATTACGCTGAACATTGATAGGGGCAGGAACCCATAGTTTATAACACAAAATCAATATTTTTTTACTAATAAATATTATCAATATAGGAAATGTGAAGATTATTTCGTCTTTTTATTGAGATCATCAACCGATTGATATCAGACCACCATTAAAAACCTGAAAGTACTGGACGGCTGTTTCGTCCTAATATGAGACTCCTCAACAGTGCACATTCACGATCCATTTCCATTTCTTTAATCAATAACCTTTTTTCTTTTTATTTCAAAGAAAAATTAGATCATGAAGTTAACTCTTGTAAAACAACAATAACCACCCCCACAACAACAACAACAATCACAACTCCAATGGATACTCGTCAACCATATGAAGGTGAAAATTTGAAAATTTAACACCAAATGAATTAGCTAATTTTAAATCAACTTTAGCATGTTGGAATCGTTTACCAATACCATTATGTATTAAACAACCACAACCAAATGCAATAAGTATATATAAATTATTAGAGAAACAAATTGTTAAAATAACATCCGATAGAGGTAGAATAAGAAAATATTTAGGTAATTTTACTCAAACACCAGAAGGTTTACCATATCGTAATTTATTTAATGAATATTTAGAAATGTTAAAATTAACACCAATTGAATCCATTAATTCACCATATTGTTTATGTGTAAATAGTGGAAAGATTAATAATCACCATGGCAACAATAATAATAATAATGATCATATAAATGAGAATGTGGATAATCATTATTATCATTATTTAATGCCAGCTTTTTATCGTTTATTAACATGGCTTATTGAAACAAATCGTCAATTTGCTATATTTATACGTACCTATGGTAAAGATGGTGAACATATTTTATCAGCTATTGAAGCTTATATTCATGGTAAACATTCACAAGAGAAAGCACCATTCAATGCTAAACAATATATACCAATTGATTATACTAAATGGTATTTAAAACGTTCTGATCATGAACCATTATTTCAATTTATAAAAGAAATTCCATATAAAGACTCATTAGATTCTGATAAACAATTTATCAATATATCAAATAATCCTAATGAAATTTATCAAATATGGTCAAAACAAATTGGTGTACTACATGTAATAGATGATTTCACTTATTGGAAATCACATAATTATCATTATAAATCATCGAAACCTTTATGGTTTAATCCATATGATCCATATATTCAACATATATTATTTGATGATAATATACGATTTGAAGAAGATGGTTCTAATGTCATTGATTTATATCAACTTAATACAACAACAACTACTACTACTACTAATACGAGAGTAGTAGTAGTAGTAGTAGTAGTAATAGTAATGGTAATGGTAATAATAATGATGATGACATAACCTCCTTAGAATCTAATCATTATCATCATCTTGATAATAAAGAAGCTATGAAATGGGAAAATATTTATTATGTACAAGCGGATTTATTAAATATAATTAAAAATAGAAATTATTTTATTGAAAAAATTAATGAATGTGAATTCAATTTAGATCAAATACAAAAACAATTCAATGTCATATAATCATTTTTGGATTGTTATTTGTTTTGTTTTGTTTGTTTGTTTTTATATTGAAAATTGATCTGTACATAGAATAGTACAGTTGTAATTTGTTTATTAAATACATTTTATAATATAGATAATATAAATGATTTTTTCTTGTTGATTGAATTCATTTTGTATTCATGTTTTTATATACTACTTAAATGATACTTATATATCTATATATCATTAGTGAGGTGAGACTATTATTTATAAACGAACCAATCAGGTATAAGATAAAAGATTTTGAATTTTAGCGCGAAATTATTCACTTATCCATTTGACTAAATAAAGTTTTGACATCATTATAACTGATGACAGATTGTGATGAAAACGCTCAATCTAATTCTAAACCTTAATTATCAAATGTAAATCAGAATTCGAATTGTTTACATGAATTTATAACCTTGATTTGGTGGAACCTTCCTCAAGGTTAATTTGGCGTCATTTAAAGGTTGTTCATAAATTATAGTTTCATCGATTATTGATTGTACCAAAGATGTTACATGTACAATTATACTCTATTTGAAATGTTTTGTTTCTTCTTTTTTTTTAGTTGTTTTTAAGCGTAACATCTATGTAGAGAAATTTTCTTTTATGATATAATAAAAAGTTTAATAATGATGATGATGATTTGTTTTTGTTTGGTTATTTTATTTCTTTGGTAACACATTCATATCAATCATATGTGTAATATTGAAATGATTTATATGATTGATTAGCCTATAACCAACAAGGATTTGTTTGCCCCTTCCTTTTCCAGCCAAACAAGTTGATGAAGCCTAGTAGGCCCTTCTGGAGAGGAACAGGCCACATCAAAGCACGGCACAACTACCAGGGCTAGAATAGTTGTTTCTGCAATCCTTTGGAGTTTGCCCAATGACGAGCAACTCCATATGATACATGCACCACTTTCGAAAATTTTGTCACTTTCCTTTTCAAATGTAATCGTGCTGTGTTTCTCTGTGGGTTACATCGAAGAACGGCACAACTACTGGGACTTGAATGGTTGTTTCTGCAAACCTTTGGAATTTCCCAATGACAAGCAACTTCATATGATACATGCACCACTTTCGAGAAAATTTTTTTGTCTTTTTCCATTCCAAACGTAGCTGTGCTATGTTTACCTGTGGAGTTCGTAATCGGTTGATGGGTATACGTAATAGTGGGTGATTAGCCCGATCTCCACAACCCGGGTTACCGCTCACGTTAGTTCATGAGTCATTCGTCTCATTATCCAGGAGGCACGACGCGGACGTGTGAGTCGAATTTTGCCTCCCAACAAGGATTTGTTAGAGAAAATAAATGTATATTTTGAAATGAAAAATTAGATAATATTGTTATCACTTATGACCTGTGTGCCCTGTTTATTGTATAAGGTAACGATACCGCCAACTAGGGAGTAGTGAATTATCGATCGGACCAATGAGGCATAAAACCTGTACGAGTAGTCTAGAGTCCTTACTGGTACAGCTATCCGCCTAGCCCAGCGAGTTATGTCCAGAACACCAATCTCAGACTCTGCAGTATAAACCATTATATTTCAAACATACTGAGTTTATATACCAATCAAATAGACCACATCGTACCATAAAATAGGAACTAACATTTGTACAAGATTTAACCGAAAGTGTCTGTGAATGTGGGAGGTAGTAATTAATAGACAGAGCATAATTCAAGAATGGTAAATCATGTAATAATAGTTCATAGGCCAAAATACTGCTCATAATATGAGGAACACGAACATGAATAGTTTAATTACTTAATAATTATACGATAAAAATATACGTTTAGTATTGGTCCATAAATGCATCCCAAAAGTCACCATTCATTATGCTTATCGGGACTTAACAAATATCAAAAAGGAGTTTGGTGGAGATCTTAGTAATTTAATGATTGAGATCGTGAGTCAATTCAAAACTAGACCAACATGGAAAACCAGGAAGCACTGGATGGTTGTTTTTTATTACTGTTGGACTCCTCAAAAGTGCACGCCCACGATTCCGCCTCGTGGGGTTCGAACCCAGCACCTATCAGTCTTGCGTGCGAACGCTTACCGTCAGTATGTTGAAGAAGCGAAGAGAGCATGATAACAGTTTGGTAGAGAAATAAAGGTTTTAAAATCTCTATTCAATTTTGTAGAATAATGAATTATTCATAAGTAATATTCCATGTAAACTCATAATGTTGCCTTTGCTTAATTGATCTTATCCTGAGTAAATCAATATCTGCATTTCATAACTGCATTAGTAAATGACTCCATAAATCAACTTGTTTACAAGTAGTCCTTGTTTTAATAGTGATATTTACTCATGTCTTATTCAATAACTCCGTGCGGAGCACCTCTGGGGGTGTGGTGGTCGGTATTTGATATAATCCTTAAACTTCGTATACAGTTCGTCGCGATAACCGTTCTATATAACGTACCAACGGTATATTAATCAGAAGGCAAATACGAAGTGTCGATTACGTTTATTGCGAAACCACACACATATATCCAAATGTACAGATGTGTTAAACAAGCATAGAAGAGTTGTGCCGAAAGGCAAGCAAGCGAGCGAGAGCCAGAGCAAGAGCGTGACGAGACCGTGCGAGCGAGTGAACGATTGAGTGTTCAATATGAATAACATGGACATATATATACCATGTGAAATGAATGAGTAATCGAATCGAATAAGCGGTTAGTAGTAAGACTAGCAGAGTGAATAAATGCGTAGGCAGTAATCAATATTCAAGCATACGTATTTCATACAAGCGCAAAATAATAATAAGGATACAATAAATTGTTATAGCGCGGATGGCTTTGTCCGCTAAATAAGTTAACAAAAAGGGCTTAACTGGGTTAAATGAAAATAAACCCATTTGCACGTGAGTCGCTATAATAGCTCCCCCCTGCAAACAAAGATATATGGAAAATGTCTGTGTTTGCATAAAAAAATAGTAGACTGAATAGGGTAGAAAAATGGCTTATACAAAATTAAGATGAAGTTATTGTGTGCTGTACATTTAGTTTGTGCCCGTCCGTGAGGTTACATAAAATAATAGCAAGAAATAGAAGGAATGTGGTATTGTCTTTACATTTTAAACAAAAATTATACGCATAAGTGTAAGGGTACATAAGATACGTTGAGTTTTATAGCGTATAACACGAGCTTAATAATGCATGTGTATACAATGAGGTAGAAGTTATAATTAATATTTAAAATAGTAGATCATTAATAAAAAATCGTAGCAACATATTGTTGGGGCCATCTTACTCTGCGGCCGGATCTTGTTGTTATCTGAGTCTTGTCTTTTTGTTGCGTTAACGTCGTTGATTTTTGGGACTCGTGTTTCGCTGGTGTGACCATCTTAGATGAGTCTGTACTTGTTGATTGATTATCACTATCGATGAAAGCTGGCTTTACTCGATCGATGCTAATTACATCTGTCTTCCCAGCTTTTTCTATGGTAACCGTTTTATTTGTCCTCTCTATCACTTTAAATGGGCCGTCGTAACTCGGTTGAAGAGGTGGTTGTACTTTATCTCTTCTAATGAATACGTGAGTGCTGTTATGTAGTTCCTGTGGTATGAATACTCGTCGTTGTTGTGGTCTGGGAGGTGTTATTTTTAAATCGCTCATGTGCTTTCTCAGGCGTTGCACATAGCCGGTTACATCAGTCGGGACACTTTTACTTGGAGTGAAAAATTCTCCGGGTAACCGTAGAGTAGTTCCGTAAACTAACTCGGCTGGACAACATCCCATGTCTTGTTTAATTGTTGCTCTTAGAGCTAACATTACTAGGGAAGTTTATTAGACCAATCGTTGTTAACGATGACGGCTGTAAGGGACGCTTTTAATTGCCTATGTAGGCGTTCGACCATTCCGTTTGCCATTGGATGGTACGATGTCGTTCGGATTCGTTTAATACCGAGGAGTTCTGTAAGCTGCTGAAAGAGTCGACTTTCGAATTGTGCTCCTCTATCAGTTGTGATAATCGTTGGTACACCGTAGTAAGAAATCCAATTTTCAACTAGGGTTTTAGCTACCGTTTCAGCTGAGGTGTCTTTTATCGGTACTGCTACCGGCCATCGTGTAAACCTGTCGATGCATGTAAAGATATAGTTGTATCCATTTGAAACGGGCAGTGGTCCTACAATATCGATGTGTATATGTTCAAATCTAGTGTCTGGGTGCGAAAACGGACCTACTGCAGAGCTAGTATGACGATGTACCTTAACTTTTTGGCACTTCATGCATGCCTGTGTCCAATTACGTACATCGTGATTCATGTTTGTCCATACGAATCGTTCACTAATCAGCTTTATCGTGGCTTTTATTCCTGGGTGCGACATGTTGTGCATGCTTTCGAATATTTTGTGTCGCAACGTTTTCGGGATAAATGGTCGCGGTCGGCCTGTTGATGTATCGCAAATTACTTTCGTGTTACCAAACCGCACCTCTTCGAGTACTAATGATGTTGAACCACCGGATCTGAGTTTATTTAACTCGATGTCTCTCTCCTGCAACTTTGCTAGACCGTTATAATCAATTCCACTTGCCATAAGTGTGCTTATCGTTGCTCGTGACAATGCGTCGGCCACATCGTTTTCTTGTCCTTTAACGTACTGTATGTCGGACGTGAACTGTGAAATGAACTCCAGTTGTCGGATCTCTCTCGGAGAATAATTGTCTTGCTTTGCACTTAACGCTTTCGTTAGTGGTTTATGGTCTGTATAGACGGTAAAATTTATGC